TCTCGCTGCCACTCACATCCTGATAGCCAGTGATTGCCTGTCAGGATGTGTGTAGGCGGGGCAGCGTGACGAACGTGAGAGGAGCTAGGCTCCTCTCACAGTCCGCCCTGAAGACCGGAACGGCGCGGGAACACGGCGAGAGGAACGCGCGGAGCAAAGGTAAGTGAATTGACACAGGGGGGACTTGGCTTACTACTTGCTACTTACTTACTACTACTATATGAGGGATGAATTAATATGGGGGATGAATTACTATAGGGGGGATGAATTACTATAGGGGGGATGAATTACTATATGGGGGATGAATTACTATAGGGGGGATGAATTACTATAGGGGGGATGAATTGCTATATGGGGGGAATTACTATAGGGGGGATGAATTACTATAGGGGGGATGAATTACTATAGGGGGGATGAATTACTATATGGGGGATGAATTACTATGGGGGATGAATTACTATGGGGGATGAATTACTATATGGGGGATGAATTACTATGGGGGATGAATTACTATATGGGGGATGAATTACTATGGGGGATGAATTACTATATGGGGGATGAATTACTATGGGGGATGAATTAATATATGGGGGATGAATTACTATGGGGGATGAATTACTATATGGGGGATGAATTACTATAAAAACTTTTTGAAACTAAAAACAGTGTACCATCCTATGTATTTTCAGTTTTAAAAATGTGGCTCTCAAAATAAATTTCAATCGTGGTTTTGGCGAGATTTGGCTCAGTTGAAAAAAAAAGGTTGCCCACCACTGTCCTAATGGATCACAGGGGTGCACTTCATTCTACATTCCTGTGACCCGTTTTAAGTTGACAGCGGGCTAAAGTCCACTGTCAGTTGAGGTCAATGAGCTAGTCAAGGCTCTGGAGAGATCCTGATTTTGACCCAAATGTCTGGATTGGCAGCTGGCTCAGCCTCTCAGCACACCACTGAGAGACTGAGCCATCTGCTCCCGCCCCCTCCATAGCTCAGCGCTCCAGTGAGAACTGGAGGGGCAGAGCAGTGACGGACAGTCACCAGCTCTCTGCTCACTGAAGATTGAGAACTGAGCGATCATCAGTCGTTGATTGCTCAGTTCTCGGTGTAGGGGTGGAGGAACAGATGAAGCCTTGGATCGATGCTGCAGCCACTTAGGTGAGTTTTTTTATGTTCCATACTTCTCTTTTAATTCTGTTTTAACTGTTTCCCAAAACAGTTACATTCAAGGCATGGGACAAAGGATTTCTTCTGAAAATGCTAGTTGCCAGGCTTTATCAACACATGTATGAAAATGCATTGAGAAGTATTGCAGTTAGCAGCCCATTCTAAATGACCGGGATGTTAACGCACCTAAAAATAGGTCCTGCAGCATTTTTGTTAGCCTGTGTATTGTGGTTTGCTTTACTGCAGATGTAGTATAGTTGTTACAGTGCAATTTAGATGTGTGTGGGGGTGCAATTGACCTTGCAGTGCAACACACAACTACAGTGCATTATCTTGCTTTGCGGTCCCAGTGTGAATAAGGTCTTTGGGCTTTATCTCTGTCTGGGTTCTTGTTGGAAACATGAGGTGAGGAGGCATAGCAAGTTACAAAACTGAGCCAGGAAATAGGTTTGCCTTGTTACCCAGGGGGGGGGGGGAGATTTACTAAAACTTGTGCACAGAGGATTTGGGGCAGTTGTGCATAGCAACCTATCAGCTTCTAACTTCAGCTTGTTCAATTAAAGTGGTTTAAAGCCTCAAGGTTTTTTTATTTTTAGTTCTCATGCACACTGGACATTTTTACAGCGGCTGTTTTTGGCTTTTGACATTTTTTCTACAGCTAGTAAACCCTCCAGCACAGGGGCGGACTGACAACTCATGGGGCCCCCGGGCAATAGGGGATTATGGGGCCCCTGTGTCCTTGCCCAAACTCAAAAAAGCCTATGAAAAAGGTACCAGGGGCATCTCCTGGGGCCCCCTACTGACCCCGGGCCCTCGGGCAGTACCCGAGTTTCCAAATGGTCAGTCCGCCCCTGGTCCAGCATGTTATCCTAGGTGTCCATGCACACATGGACTGTAAGCAATGTTTTTTGGCTGGAAAAAAACCCAGGACTAGTGGGTTTCTAGAGGAGTTGTTTAGCTGTAAAAACGCTCTAATGCCAAAAAACGTGGCAAAATGCAGTAAAATGCAGCAAACTGTTGTTTTTTTTTTAACTTTTTTTACCCAAAAAATGTTAAAAACCAAAAGCGCAAAAAAAAGTGGGAAAACGCAGCTAAACGCTAATGCAAAAACGCTAAAAAAAAAGCTGAACAACTCACGTTTTTAATGTGACTTTACACAGCTAACGTTACCAGCGTTATCAAAACGTCCCGTGTGCATGAGGACCAATGCATTCTATGCATTAAGGTAAAAAAGCCTTCTGTGTGACCCCCCTTATACTTACCTGAGACCGATCACAATCCAGCTCTGTGCATGAGAGCTGCGGCTCTCCTGGCTTTGTTCCTACTCACTGGGCAGATCGATAGCAGTAGGCGCCATTGGCTCCTGTCAATCAACTACAGTGACAAGGAAGCAAGGGGCACGACCGAGTCCTGCTACCTGTGTAAATGGACAATGGAATGAGCCTGCACGAGTACCCCTATGGGAATCATGCTTCCTATTGGGGGCACCAGCAAGAGGGGAGGAGCCAGGAGCGCTGGCGGGGGACCCGGGGGACCCGAGAAGAGGAGGATCGTGGCTGATTTGTGCAATTCTGTTGCACAGAGCAGGTAAGTATAGACATGTTTGTTATTTATTTTGTTCTTTTTAATGTTTTCCTTTACAACCACTTTAAAGCGGAGTTCCATCACGCTGTCAAAAAATAAAAGTCAGCAGCTACAAAAACTGTAGCTGCTGACTTTTAAAAAACAGCCACTTACCTGTCCTTCGGTCCCGTGGTGTGTCCCCGCAGCCCGTTTCACCATCCGTCCTGTATTCCAGGAGGCCGGCATCTTCAGTGTGGGCACCCAGCTTTGATAGCTTGCGGCTTCACACCTGGGTACCCACTGCACATGCGTGAGTATCGCTGCACTTCATGAATGGTCCCATAGTCTTCTGGGATCTGTCACGTTTCCCAAAAGACTACAGGGAGGGAGGGAGGACAACTTCCGCTTCCTAGGCGATCAGACCGGAAGTGGGAGCGGGTACCTGTCAAATTTGGGTACCCCTCCCCCCCTGCCCCCCAAAGGTGCCAATCCTTAATGGGGAGCGGAGGAGCAGTCCTTAAAGCGGAACTTCTCCTTTTGGGTGTAGCTCCGCTTTAAGCTTTGACAGTACAACCTAGAAGCTGATTGGGTACTATGCACAACTGCCCCAGATCCTGTGTGCACTAGTTTTAGTAAATGTCCCTCACTGTGGCATGGGTGTTTTGAATTATAAATCCTTTGCCAGGGTAAATACTACACATGTATTCAGGGCTTCTGTTAGAAAACATGGGGTCCCATACAGCCAACCTAACAGGCCCCTCTCCCCACCAAGAAAACACGGTTTTCTATGTTTTGGCTACAAATGAACACAGTGAGTGTTTGGTAGCAATCGCTCATTGTGTTCATTTAGGAAAGAAAGGGACTGGTAAATGTGACATATTTACTGGACCCTTCCGCCGCTCTCTTTCCTGAAGGATCCTACTGTGTGCTTGAAGCTGCTGGTAGGAAGGAGGGGAGGATAGCTGACAGCACTACGGGGGTGGGGGCACAGAGGGGGCCTGAGAAACATGGGGAAATGTATGGTGCACATAGAGGGTGTAAGGTGCGACAGGAAAGCAGTTACTGGAACCGATCCCCTGTACGGCTCCCTCTCTGCAGCAGCTGAAAGCCAGTGGGAGGGAGAGAAGAAGAAGCCAGCTTTCAGCTGCTGCAGAGAGAGTCATACAGGGGATCAGTTCCAATAATCGCCCCCCTGCTGTCCCGATCACCCTCCCTGCCCACATCTGATTCACCCAGCTGCCTGGGCCCCCCTACTGTTCTGGGCCCCGTACAGGAGGACTGGTGGTACCCCCTTATCCACAGCCCTGCATGTATTGATAGTTGTTTGCCTGGAGTTCCGCTTTATGTTGAAGTGTCTAACCATCTTCAGCATGGATAATTCACATACTGCTAAGTGTTCCATCACTGTGATGACATAGAACAGAATTTCATTATAATAAACAGATGCTTCACTAAAGGATCTATGCTACGGCTGTGAACAGACTGAACACAAATCCTAGAATGTTTCTAATTTGAGTTGTTTGTAGTGTAATGGCAGCGTGATGCAGAATGATCTGTAATTTAGATCTAGTGGTAAACTTAATGACAGACAACAGAGTCATGAAACAGTTCACTGTGTTATTTCAACTAGACAAGTGAAACAATGGTTCATGTCTATGAACTAACTGCACCATGTACACTAATACAGTGATTTCCACATTAAACAGTTAAAGTGGAACTTCACCCAGTAGGGAAAGTTATGCGTTTTTGCCTCTTCCCCTCCCCCACCCTTCTACCACTTTTGGACTCTTTTTCGGGGAGAGCAGGTACCTAGTTTGGACAGATAACTGCTGTTACTTCCACCCGGATCGCCTAGGCAGTCTGATGGAAACTCCCCCCACCCCCTTGCCTGCAGCCTTCTGGGACACATCACAGGTCCCAGAAGACTGTGGGACTATTCACAAAGCACAGCAGGGCTTGCACATGCACAGTGGGAAGCCGGCTGTGAAGCCGCAAGGAGTGACAGCTGGCTTCCCTTAATAAACATGGCAGTGCCGAAGACCAACGAAGAACTGGTCCTGGTGAGTTAGGTGTCCTTTTATTAAAGGTCTGCATCTACAGTATTTGTAACTGCTGACTTTTATTTTTTTTTGGGGGGGAGGCTGAAGTTTTTTTTTCAAGTGAAGTTTTGCTTTAATAATGCAGGGGAAAGCAACAGGTTCACTTTAACCGCTTCCCTACTGCCCTATAGCAGAACTACTGCTACAGGGCAGCAGGGCTGCACAAAACCATGTGATTTTGCATTTCCGGGCAGGCGCATGTGCGCCACCCTACCCGCGCAGCAAATGGCAGCTACGGATGCTAATTACTGGGTCCCGGTCGGAGATTCCCCGCCTGCACCCGGCGATTGCCGAGGAACAGTGACAGGGGAGAGACCTGTGTGTAAACAACACAGATCTCTCTCCTGCCAGCAGTAACATGCTGCTGTGTACTTCTTTGCACAGCAGAGAAAGACACAGTAGCATGTTTACATAGTAAAACACACACACAGCACATACAGTAAAACACAGCACACAGTTAACCCTTTGATCGCCCCCGATGTTAACCCCTTCCTGCTCAGTGCCATTAGTACTGTGTCTGTGCTTATTATTAGCACTGATCACTGTATTGGTGTCACTGGGGATGTCAGTGGCATTTAGTCAGTCCCCCCACAGTGTCAGAATGCCCGCCGCAGTCCCGATATAAGTCGCTGATCACCGCCATTACTAGTATAAAAAAAACAAGTCCAGTATATATACTGCTATTCGTAGATGCTAAAACTTTCACGTAAACCAAATACTTTACAAGTATTAGGATTTTTTTAAGCAAAACCATGTAGCAGAATACATTTTGGTATAAATTTATGATGAAATGTGATTTTTTTAAATTTTTTACTGGATATATTTTATAGCAAAAAAGTCAAAAATATTGTGTTTTTTTTTCAAAATTGTTTTTTTTTTTTTTGTTTATAGCACAAAATTAAAAAATGCAGAGGCGATCAAATACCAACAAAAGAAGCTCTAATTGTGGGGAAAAAAAGACATAACTTTCATTTGGGTGCAGCATTGCATGACCGCGCAACTGTCAAAGTAACGCACAGCCACATCGCAAATGATGGCCTGGTCAGGAAGGGGGGTAAATCCTTTGGAGGGCAAGTGGTTAATGCTCCCCTCTCTACCAACACATACTTCTCCTTTGTTCTCCCACTACTCTGTAGAGCTCCTGGGAATGAAAGGTAAATCCTGTATAAGCTGCGGGTTGCTGGAGTCCAAGCTTACATACAGTTATAGACTTCATGAGTGAAAACACTGACTGGCCAAATCATGTCAAATGTAATTCCTTCTGCACACTGGGCTTAAAAATAATGCAGCGTTTACAGGTCTTTGGCAGGTTTTTTTTTACAGCCTGTAAAAAAGCGCCTCTGTGTAAGCCTATGTGTCCATGCACACGTAGGCGTTTCTAGGTGTATTAGAAGAGGAACGTTGACAGACTGAAAAAATCAAAAGCACGTTCAGAAGAGCTGAAGAGCAGAAAAAACGCTGAAAGCGCCATCACGTACCCATGTCTAAACTCTAGATGTGTTTAGGTGCATTTGAATGTTAATGCTTTACAGTGGCCATAATAAATAATATTTTAACCAATTAAATCCATTAACACGCAAACGCTTGATGCGCCTAAACGTGTGCACAATCTGCAGCTTTGGGCTTTTTTTTTTAAGCAGCTTTTCTCCTGCCAGCATTTCTGGAGTTCAGAGGAGAAAAGCGAATGCCCTGTGTGAATGAGGCCTAAGGCGTCAAATACTCCTCCATACCACAAACTACCATTGGTTCCTTCAGCTAGCGCTTGGCGCTGACCAGAGTGGTAGAGGAGACAGGGAAAGGTAAATACTGTACCTACTGCTGGATTAAATGATACAAAGTTTGACCCTCTGTAGCTCCACTGGGCGGTGTTGGGTAGCATTGTCCAATACAGTCCCAGCACATAGACAGGGACATTTACCTTTTGTCTTACTGTTTCAGTTCATACCAACACACTTCCTTGGTGTTGGCTGGAAAAATTAGTAGACAGGGTATTCCAACACAGTAGAACTCATTTCAATGCACTACTGTACATAGAGTTGAATGTACTGTCATGTTTAATAAGGTTCCAAAGAAAATAACTGTACTTTACCATGCAACCGCTGGGTGAATGGGCTCCTAGAAGTTTCTGTAGCCTGGAAAGGAATGCGTGATTTGGCATTTTCCAAAACAAAATTCCACTTAAACAAAAACACAAACAGTTAACTTAACTTTTTGATGATTTACAAACTTGGTGTCTTTATAATATGCTAAATTTTAAATTAATGATATGTGTAGCTCAGTATGATGGAAAGATACATTGGAATCATATTTTCTCAAGCTTTGGCTTTACCTTGGCCACCAAGCTCAACATCAGAAATCTTGATTCTTCTCTTTAAATGAAACTAAACCCATCAATTTAAGGCCTGGTTCACACTAGTGTGATTTCCTATAAAACTTGTATCCCACAGAACCGCATGACAGTGGAAATCACTTTATTCTCTCTGTCTTATTCTCTGGTGCCTGTTCACATCAATGTGACATAACATGGCACATTTTTGGAAAAGGTGCCAGTTCTTTGTTGGTGTGGTTGCTGCACGATTTTGGCCCCATAGACTTCAAAGGAAACCCAGCAAAAAACGCATGCACATGTGTTTCTGGTGCTTTTTGCCAACATTTGTGTTGATTGTTGGGAGCCTGCACTATGGTTCACAGCTGACAGCAAAATGTAAGTAAAGGAGCTTGTCATAAAAATATAAAAAAAACACATATTGGGTCTCCCCACAATCCTTACCAGGCCCTTTGGGTCTGGTATGAATTTTAAAGGGGACCCCATGCCAAGAGAACAAAAAAAAATAAATGGCATGAAGTCCCCCAAAATACATGCCATACTCCTATCCGAGAATGCAGCCTGGCAGGCCAGGAAGGATGGGGGGGGGGGAGCTTGTACTCCCTCCTGAACCATACCATGCCATCCTCCTGAACTACATGCCATCAACATGGAGAGGACTTCCCCCAGGCAGGCACATGTTAATGAGGACAAGGGCCTCTTCCTCACAACCTTCTAGGGTTCCACTGGCGAGGGACTTATTGGGATCTAGAAACCCCCTTAACTAATAAGGGGGCCCCCAGATACCACCTCCCACCAAATGAATGAGTAAGGGGGCACATGGTGATGTCACTAACCATATATGAACATGTCCATATACAGTTGTGCTCAAAAGTTTGCATATCCTGACAGAAATCATGAAATTTTGGCATTCATTTTGAAAATATGACTGATCATGCCAAAAACACTGTCTTTTATTAAAGGATAGTGTTCATATGAAGCCATTTATTTATCACATAGTTGTTTGGCTCCTTTTTAAATCATAATGACAAATAAAATCAACCAAATGGCCTTGATCAAAAGTTTATATACCCTGGAATGTTAGGCCTTGGTACAGACATGCAAGGTGATACACACAGGTTAAAATGGATTTTAAAGATTAATTTCCCAGTCATATTCTCAATATCAATGCCAAAAGTTCATGATTTCTGCCAGGGTATGCAAACTTTTGAGCACAGCCGTAGGGTCAGTTATGTCACCAGCTGACCCTGGCCCTTTGTTTACTTAAGTGGCGAGAAGAACTGGGGATGCCATTTGGTGCAAGGCAATCGATGGGATTGGTCATATGGCAGTCAACTTAGTTTTTTTTTTGTGTGCGTTAAAGGCTGTTATTCATCTTGATTGTTGTAGATCTGGACGATGGGATTGATAATAGATGTACAATGTTGGACTTTTCAAAAATTTTACACAATCAAAAACTGTGTTTGTGTTTCTATTCACCACTTACTTTTTTGTGAATGAGTACTTATTGACATGCGGAGGGTTGATATTTGGGGACCCCATTATTGTTAAAGGGGACTTCAAGATTCTGATAGGCCCCCTGTCTGCAGACTCCCACAACCATTGGGCCAGGGCAGTGGGGAAGATGACCTTATTCTCATCAACATGGGAAAAAGGTAGCAAAGCAACCCCTCCATATTGAGGGCATGTGGCCTAATATTGCTGTTTTGGGGGTGGTGGGGTGTAATGGACGTTTGCCCCCCTCTCCTGCATACTGGTATGGATTTTGGGGAGGACCTCATGACAATTTTCTTTGTTGTTTTTCAGGCATGGGATTCCCCTCAAAATCTATACCATTGTCCGTATTTTTATGACAGGCTGATAGCAGACATAAGTCGCTGGTTGTTAGGATGCAGGCGGGTGTCGACTCCCTAACAACTAGCTTCTGTGTATTGTGTCTCCTTCCCTTACAAAAAAAATGCAGCAGCATGAAAAACATTTAAAAAATGCATCAAAATGCAATAATGTTGCACTACAAAATCACACTGAAAATTAGAGCAAGTCGCAGCTGCACTAGTGTGAATGTAGCCTCACTGATTTTCAAAACTGTTACATTCAAAGAATGCCATGAGTGTTAACTGTCAAAGTTGCTCGTTCTCTCAACCAAACTGTCAAGCCATCAAATGGCTGGTGTCATAACAGATCATGTGCAGCACAATGGCAAAGCAGATCAAACAAAGCCTAAGATGACAGCTCCCTTGGCTGTAAAGAATAGGAGGGTTTACTTCTGTGTTAGGACCCTGTTCAGACATCGTATTGCAGAAACATGCTTTTTCGCTTTTGATTTTCAAAGTGCGATTTGCACTCATTTCCATGAATTGTGCATAGGGCAGCCCATTCATTTCAATGTCTAGATTAGTTTCTGAACAATGAGGACATTCAATGACGTCACTGCCGGTTGGGGAAATTAGCAGTTTCCCAGCCAATCTATTGGCTGTTTAAAGCTGAAATCAACTAATTTTCATCCCTCTGGTCACTCCTTGGTAAAAGGAAGCTGCAACGAGTAAAAAGATGCAAACAAAATTTGAGTTACATATTTCGACCCCTTTAAAAGTTATAATTATGGTCACTGTATGTAAACTATGCAGCAAGGCTCATGTTCAGTATGTTTTTATGTGGAGTCTTGATAAAGTGTAGTTTTGTTTTGATTGAGTTGTATGTGTGCGATCATTTTCATAAAGGTAACATTTTATATGTGGTGACAGTTTTTGTGTGGTCTAGTCACTAAGTGAGTTCACAGCAGAAGGCAACACTGCTAGCGTGAGAGTGTGAGATCCCTTATGTCTTAGCTGTGTGTGAATCTTCATACCTCATTATTACCAGATGGTGGATTCTGTAGTATCCTTATATTCTCACAGGTGACTATTTGTAGCATGCCATAAATATTGTACAGTAGAATTATGACACTCATAATGAATGGAAGAGTATTATGTTTTTATAGTTATGTTGTAATGGAGAACACATTTTTTTTTCAGCCGGTTGCTTGATGCTGGAAAAATGGTGCAGTTATCACATTGCTTCGGCCTGTTTCCATTTATTCTCTGCCGATGGTTTGGAATGTCATTGTCACTGAATCTTGAGGATCCCAATGTGTGCAGTCACTGGGAAAGGTAAGTGTTTGTCTACACCAGGGTTTCTCAACCAGGGTTCCTCCAGGGGTTCCTTGAGCAATGATCAGTTTCTGTGTTTCGGGATAAGTTCTCACTAACAGCATTGATCTTTTTAGCTATCTATAAGGGGGAAATTCTTTCCAATAAACT